CCTCACCGTATTTTCGCGCCCCTGACACCCTTCCCCCCTGCTCTCACCGCGTGGCTCCGCCCGTCCCGTTTTTTAGTTGTCCCTCATATTCATTTATTGAATATAGCAGAGGCATTTAATGCCCAATGCCAGCCCAACCCCCCACTGCCCGCCCCGCCCCCCGTGCTCCCCTGTTCCCCCTGCTCCCCCCGCCCCCGCCCTCACCGCCCTCACCGTATCTTCGCTTCCCGCATCCCTGCCCTCACCTTCTTTCCTCACCATATTGTCAAGAAGGACCCAGGTGCACCCCCTCAGGCTGCCAGCTGCCACGCAAGGCCCAGGCCAACCTTTGCCTGGGGATGATGGGAAAGCCCCCCTGCATTTATTGGTGCCTAAACCATAAAACCCTCATTGAGAGTGACCCCCTTCGCCCATGCGCTAGGACGGTTCACACGCACACACACACACACCACACACACACACTGACACACCCGCGAAAGCGCGCCCACGTTTGTGTAATTATTGAATATAGGTACGGTATATACATATATATATATATGGTGTGTATATATATATATTCATATACTTAGTATGGCAATAAACCATATGCGAAATGTATACGTGATCATATACATATACATAGTTATACAAAAATACCAGCTGCAGCTGATGCCGACTTCGCGCTCGCGCAATGTGCTCGTCGTTTCGCCGCAGAATGCGATCTCAAGAGTTTGCATTCTTTCATACATGTCTTCTTGTATCGCCGGGCGACGGTATCCTAATAGTATATCACTTCATTTCGGGTTAAACTACACATGTAGGGTTCTCCGGTCCTTCAATTGTTTTTAACTTTTCATGGGCCAATACTTTAGATTTCGCTGTTTGATCCAGATGTTTTCAGTGATAGGACTGACACTGGATCCAAGGATATTATTCGGCATCCTTTGTGTTTTGGGGATGCTGCCCCTGCCTCACATCACTCACATGCTGTCAACCATGCAGTCTTGCATGCTGTTCAATAGGTTGCTGTGCACCCGGATGTCAACTCTCAAAGCGGAGCTGCTCCGGCACTTGTCCTTTGTGATGCTGGGCCCTCAGGCCCGCCATCCCGGTGGCAGTTGCATGCACATCAGTCCAGGCTTCACATAACAGATTACCTCACCAACATCCTGACAATGGTCATCGTTCCGCGCTTTTGAGCAATGATATCGTTGTCGTTGGTGCACATGTATGCATCATCGTGGCAAACGTCCATGTCTAAGGTTTGTCTTGTGGATCACCCACGGTATTTTTACGTGCTCCTCCTATCGCAGCCTGCTCAGGCTGCAGAATGCAAAGCAAATATAGCACCGCCTGGCCGTGATGTAATCCGCCGTGGGCCGAGGCATCTGATCATCGGCTGCTTCTGCACTTACACGGCTTCAACACGGCTGGAGCTGCAATGCAGATGGAAAGGCTCACCTGCAGACATTTCGTGCATCATGAAGCGTGAGGACTGGAAGAGATGGTGCTGTGTTCCCTTCATCAATTTCTTCCTCATGGTTTTCAGCTTGGATAGTTGTCATGGCGGCACATATATTTTGAGACCGTTCGAGAAGCGCAGCCCAGTTTGCATGGACTGAACCAGGTCATCTGCATGGGTCTGATGCAGGGCGTGCAGCTCTATATGGCACACGAGGCATGGCCGCTAGCAGACAGTCCTTGGAACAATTTGCACTTGCAAAATGTTGGTGAGGACTATATGAAGAGGAGAGCTCGATCTCTAGATGTGGAGTCCAATTTATCGGAACTCCGAGCCTTATCCTTAGCACAGTCAGCACTTGGTTTCTTGGAATCCTGCTCGAATGTGCCCAGGTACCTGCCATGATGCCGGCCAGGTTCCACAGCAAGGTTGCGGCCGGAAGCGTGCGTGCTATCAGGATGCTCAGGTAGTGCTATCACATTTGTCGTTTGCCAGGCTATGGATGGCTTGCTTGAGGGTTCGGTCTTCGCGTACGTCTCCATGTACGCATTGATCAAGGACCGTTGGGCTGAGCGGGACACTCAGAGGCGGCTTCTCCTTCAGCCTCCTACTGCTAGGTCCTTAACTTCAGGCGTCCCGGGCAGACGAAAGGCGTACTCTAAACTCTCTGTTCACCCGAACCCAAAACCTTAAACCCTGAACCCTAAACCTTAGCATTCCTGCGAAGATAAAAGATCCGGTAAAAAAAAAATTGAAAGCACCATTTCTGGTGTAGCGCTGTACGGTGAGTACCGTTTTTGCGATGAGGGTCTGTAGTCAAACCCCATGCTCACTTACTTTGTTCTCCAAGCTTCTCCGGCCAGATGCCATGCAGGATTTCTCACGAGCGTTTGTAGTGCAGTCCCATGTAAATGCAATCTTGGTGGATTTGGGCCTTAGCATTGCAGCGCAAGGACTGAAAAGGGCTTCTACATCGGGATTTGGGCCTACAGATTTGGTTGCATACCATGATTTCAGAGCTGCGGCCTGCGTCTCGCGCACAATTTGTTACTTTTGGTAACATTTCAACGCAAGATGTAATAAGGGCGTCTACCTTGGGCTTTGCAGTCTGTGGGGTGCCTTCTGCCTACATGGGGTTCCTTTTCCCCGACGGGGGCGTCTAAGGGCAGTGGTGTGCCTTTTGCCCGTGTGGGGTGCCTTTGGGTCCTCACTTCTACAACCTTGGCATAACCTCGCGAGGCCGCAATTCAATCCCGTGCAGCTGGAGGAGGATGGCTGCCAACACTTTCAACTCCGAATGAGTATGCATGAAAGTGATCTGCAGACTTGGTATACGCCGTGCCTGTACATAGGCCGGGATTGTGCTGCTTCCAGCTGCATGCTCTGCCTGACTGACGCATGGACATGGTGCAGGTGCCTTCTGCAGCATCATCAACGTTGGTCTTGCTTTGGTGGAGGCTGTTTGGTGCTGCAGATTGCAGCAGATTCAATGAGAAAAAGAATTCATCCCCGCTGCACTTCAGATCGACCATCGAACATCTGCCTGCGCGAAGTCCTGAGCTTGTAGCTGGTCAAACTTTGTCAAACAGTTGCAGCATGGATGTACGCCTGTTGCATGATGCTGTCAAAAGTCGTGAAAGGTTCAGAACGTGCTGGACGAAACGGCGATCGCATCGTCTAGACACCTCGCGCTTGGAGCCGAGTGTTGTCAGGTGTTGAGCAGTCTGTTGGTAGGTCTCAAAGTTGACCGCGTCATCTGCAGGTTCCGTGCTGCGGAGTTTTCAATGCGACTGCTAACGATGCTGGCGTGCTGCTTAGGCGACTGGCCAATGGCCACCTTTCTACGAGTTGTAGTAGTTCACTGAAGGGTACTCAGAAGCTTGCGATGGATTTAGACGAGCTTGTATCTGAAAGCGCGAACTCGACGCATACTTTTAACCAAGGTGGAGCGAATAAAGCTTGTTCCTGGCAGGGCAGATTCTGCTGAACACATCAGTGTGTGGGGAGAAGCAGCTGTTGGAAGGTGAAACTTCTGGATAGCAGTTAGTTGGACAATTGACGCCTACTTTTTCCCTAACCTCGTCAAATTGTTGCTTTCTTTGTTCGTGAAGTACTTCCGAGGCCGTGAGCAGCCCTTCAGAACATGCATCATGAGTTGGAGCTGAAGTCCGTCTTGTGTCGAGGCAATTCTTGAAGAGTCATAAAGTGACTCACAGACTATCAAGAGCCTACGTGGGAGCTCTCTTTAAGTTGCAGCTCTTCAGAGAACAACAGAATTATTATGCAAGAGGTCACTCAAAGAATGTACTCTGGGGTTGCAGAGCTTTCTGCGCCCGGTTCTGAGGCTTTTTGCACCTTCATGCGTCCGCTACACTTTTGGTGGATAGCATATGCTGTGGCCTTGGGCACATGCAATCTTTGTGCCGTGTGTTCATTTGAGAACATCATGAAGGTGCTGGTTGCCGCAGACTACTTGTTCGGAGTGACCATCTCAGTTAGCTCTTGCCGCCAGAGCAACTGTTGAGCATGTTGCGTTGACTTGGACATGACAGGTAGCACTTCTGGTCATTCTGGGAGGTCGTGATCCTGTGCGTGAGGTGCCCCGCGGGTTTCTTTTGTGCGCGCTTGTGTATGTAATGCTATGATGCTTTGTGAACTTCTATACACAGGCAGCACTGCACTTGAGGCTTTTAAAGGGAAAGTGCGGCCTGTTTCTGACGGGGCCGACTTTCAAGATTCTCTTGAGCTGCTTTTAGAGGCCTCTGTGGTGCTGGGCGTGCCCCTCTTCATGGTAAACATCATGCAGCAGCCCAGCTGCAGTGTGCTTGCAATCTTTCAGAGCGTTTGGATAGCTGGAGCAGCACAGGTTTGTGGACGCACCTGGAATGAGTTTGCAGGCGGGGAAGCTACAGTCTTGCTGTGCTACATACCGAGCATTTCTTTAGCTCTGACTCACTGTCGACTTTTGGCCTGCAGCTTGCGGATATGCCTTAAACAGCATGGGTTACCATTTGGCTGTAAGAGATGAGATGGGCTTGGTGTGCAATCCATGATCAGCAGGCCAGCTTTTGTTGGAGTCCAATGTCCAAACGTTCGAAATTCTTTGTATTTGATTCCTATCTCGAGCACTTCCCTGCCATCATTTTGCAGCGCAGGGATCCGTGTCAAAAACAAAACTCCCAGGCTCGTCAGATCTCGGAGATCATGTTTCCTCTCAGAACTGCTGAGCTGATCGGGGCACCTTGGCCGTGAAGACGGAGTCAAGAGTCGGGATGGGGTAAGCTTCTCTGGTAAGCACTCTCAGCGATGCGTGTTGACAGCTGATGTACAGGGTAAATGGAGTATCGGGGGGATCTACAGGTAGTTCTTTCAGATCCATCCTTGACGTGAAGGTTCTACTCTTTTGCGTGTTATGCCCGGCGCAGATCAAGGCGCGCAGCTTTGCGGTACTTGTGGCCCGAGCTTCCAAAAGTCGCAATCAGACACTCAACGCAGCCTGTGCTTCCAAATTTTGCATAAGGACACTTCCGATTCACAAGTCTAGTGCATTTGTGCTGACAGCGACTTGGATTCTTGATTCTCATCAAGCCGCAGGTTGTTGGAGAACATGAGGAGACCTTGGAAGTGGTGTGCCGCAGTATAGACGGCCTTGCCCAGCTCAATGGCACTGGCCACTGGCAACTTCTCCTTTTTCAATCCAGGAGCTTAGCATGCTTCACTTCATACTGCGCCTGCATCCGTCTTGGGTCCCTGCCTTAGGTGTTGGGTCAAAGTTCCAAGGGCATTTTCAGAGAATCTCATAGCAGCAAGTCACAGGCTGTTTGCTGGGCCGCCAGTGTGGTGATTTACTACCTGCTCTTCGCAACCTATGCTGCCAGGCTTGGTTTGCTCGATAACGCGCTGTGCGTTTTTCGGAAGCCATCTCAGCTTTGGCATGGAAAGGACAAAGCCGGGAGCAGATCTTCACAGCGCCGCTGCTCGGGCTGATCTAGCTACTTCGATGGTCGATAGATGCTGTGTGCTAGTGGGAGGCTGTGCATCCTGGTCTAATGGGATCAGAAGATAGGAGCTTGTATCGTAGCTTCTGCCATGACAGCTCGGTTTCTTGGCACCCCAAGAAGTACAGTGCAGATGCCCTAAATTGAGAACCAAGCACCAAGGCTCTTCAAATTGTCTGCACAGTTGTGCCTCTGCAGGTCGCATATGGTGAAGTGGAAGTTCTCCGTCGATTGCTGCGTCTTGCTGGCCGCATTAAGCATGGGCACGTCTGCTCAACCTTGATGTGTGAAGCGCGGTGCATCCTCCCTCCCCATTGAAGCTATCGGTGCTAGCCTCTTGGAACGACATCAAGCAGTGTTGGCTCTGTGTCTGCCAGGTAGCTCAGAACTGGTTCTCGACATTTCCCGTGCGAATCTTGGAACTCAGAACAAGTGTTCTGCTTCACCTAGAAAGGGTGAAGATGACTTCATTGCGAAGGCTTTGGACCAGATGGCAGAAATCCACTGCACTTGGCAGCCAGGAGGGGTCAGGCACGTGTACAGTAGCAGCCCACAACAAGTCAACTGTGGGGCTTTAAAGGTGGAGTGCATGAAGCTGCTCGTAGAGGAGAAGGCTGATCTACAGGCACGGAGACACCTAAGCTCGATTGGCGAGCTAGCCTGCTGTCGGGGGTCCATGGGAAGAAGCCCGCGAAGCACCACAGTCACAATATGTCACGATAGCTGCTTGCCGCTACAAGCTGTCAGGCCCGGACTGGCAACAAGCAGCAGCACATGGCATTACATCTGGCCGCCATGAACAAGGTGGAGCCAGCGTACTCTCTTTGGAAATATTTAGCCACGTCTTGTGATGTTCTGATGTCATCTTCCCGCAAGTACTGGGGCTGCGTCCGTGAGGGGACTGACTCCGAAAGGCATGTTGCGTAAACTTTTTGGCTTCAGCATTAGCGTTGTAGGAGAACAATCTGGCGGCAATTGGGCTTCAAAAGGGGCATCACGGCATTGGAGTTGGTTAAGTGCAGAAGAGGGAAGCGTGATGGGGGGTCTAGCTGAGAAACCCCGCAGCCCTAAACCCTGCACTGCAGCCCAACCCTACGAGTGCGCTGTGCAAGAGGACTTGGCGGGGTGTAATGGAGACTCCCTTGGGCCCTATCAGCAGTGTCGACAGATTCAAAACTGAAAGCCTTTCGTACGTTATCGCATCGGCTGTTTGAAGCCTTTGCGCATGTAGATGCAATTGTCGTCGTCGGCCAGGGGGTGCAGAGCGCACCAGAGCACTTCAACTAGAGCAACATGCAAAGCTTGCTGTGGTGACGCAGGCTCCGGATGCTGCCCGGTTCCTATGCCAAGTTTGCAGAGGTGACCCGCAACTGCAGAATGAAGCCCGGCTGCAGGGCTGAGGATGTGGATCCAAGCATCAGCATTTGGCAGACATTCTGTACGCAAGCTCCAAGGCTGGCAATGCTGACGGTGACACACCACTTCACATAGCCGCCAGATTCCAGAATGCAAGGAGCCAAGAAAAGCAACATTTCTGCGCATTGAAGAGGTACTGGCAAGCTTCAGTTAGTGGAAGGTCTCGACAGCTGTTCAAACTTCAATGATGTTGAAGACATTGAAGAGATCATGCTTCGTTCTTGTGGGTGATTCCGCAGTCCTACCGTGAGTGGCACTTTCAGGTAAGGCCTCGTGTAAGTAAGGCTTGCCTAGACGCTGCTCGTAAACTCTTTTCGCACCAGTCCTGATGCACGGAAGTTTGCGTGATGGAGCCGTTCATCGCCCGATAGTTGGTCTCCAAATCTAGCTCCTTAGGGCTTGCAGGAGTGTCTGTTCACCAACTATCGGTTCCTGGGCTGCGGCGAACCTTCTAGACCACCTGGTCTGAAATTTTCAATGAGTTAGAGGCTTGTCTAGGGCCGGCCCACTCCACCTGAAATGCTTGACGTATGACCAACCCCTGTTGTACTGATGATTTTTGTTGTCAAATGTGTCGGGCAGTGCCTCTGCGACCTGAAGGGCCTGCCAACATGTTCGGATTCAGTTGCCTTGTCCCAGAGCTACTACATTTCAAGGCGAAGGCTCTCTAGAGTAAAAGGGCCAGAACCCATCTCCTGTATTTCATTCCCAGGAAAGCTTCATTCTTATTCCTTTTTTTGTTACATATCTCTCATGGCGCGTGGCTCGCTCAGGTGGAAGTGCTTCGCGAGCTGCTGCGGCATCCGGGTGTAGACGTCAGGAGTGATTCTTTAAAGGCTGCTCCCAAGGCATTAGGAGCTCATTGGAACCCGCCAGGAGCCTGAATAAACAGGGGCTGGCACCGGCCGAGTGCCCGCTCCCCACAGATTTGTGATCCTGCCGCCTCCTATGAGGAAGCTGGTTAGAGCTGTAGGTGCTCCTTCGGACAAGTTCAGCTTCGACCATGACAGCGCAGAGTGTGCCATAGCCGACATGCTACGAGCTGCAGAGGCACGTGGTGATGATTTTTTCAGCAGCTGCCATGTCACATGCCCGGTGGCGACACTTAGGGGAATTTTAAGATTCCAACGGTCCTGACATATCCCGACTTCCATCCTCGCTTGGCTGGAGGCCAGAAGCAGACAAGCGCCCAGAAACGGTGAAACTGTTTCGCCTTTGGCCTCATCTGTTGACATGCTTCTGCCGTACCCTGGCTATAAACCGATGTTGTACCAAGGTCAGAGGCAGCTAGGTCGTCAGCAGTGTCTAAGGAGTGAACGTGAGCGTTTGCCTGTCTAATTCATGCACTAGACTCTAGACACGTCCAAAGCAGATGTTGGAGGAAGACTCGCTGGAGCTTTCAGATCTGAATCTGAACCCAAGGTACCGCAGCATAGTTTGGATGGTGTGCTTAGACTCGGCGGGCTCTAGATTTTGTAGAACCAGCGCGCCTTGCCTTCCAGGGCATCCAGCAGCAACGCGCCAGCTGCAGAGCAGGCCCCTCTTGGCTTTGCAGGGCTGGATGTCACGTCCTGAACGTCGAGCCGAGCCAAGACCCCAAAGCCATGGCTGATGACGACACATATCGACTTATGACTTTTCTTTTTCTCCTTTGCCTTCATGGTGTTGCCTGACGGCCCAGCAGGTGGTGCCCCCGGAAGACGATCCGAGGCATAGCATGGGTTGTGATTCTCATGATAAAGCGGCTTGCGCACGAAAGGCAGCCAAGCTCGCAAAACGTGCCTCTTGTGCCAGAGCCTGTGACTCCTTCACATCTTGCAGAAAGCGTGCCTTGATCATGTAAATTGACAGGGTTGGGCGAGAACTGTCTGCAAAGTATCTTGATTTGTCACAGGTCTGTGGGACGCGAAGCGGAGGAAAATTTCCTCAGGACGGTAGTGCAATCGCTTTTCCAAGACTGTTTGTCCTTGTGCCCCAGCTGGATCCAACAAGTGGAAGCCTCCCTGCAGCGCTTGGTAGGGCAAAGCAGAGTGCCGCTAGTTCTTAGTCTTGTTGTGTTGACATGGATGCGGGCAAGTTGAAAGAAATGCAACAACATGTAGTTGTATCCTTTGGATCTTCAGTAGCCGCAGAGTTTTTTTCATGCTAGTGCTAGTGGCTTCTGGAAGAAACGCATGAGTTTGGTGAGATCCAGCAGCTTTGAAAACATTCAGTCTGGTCAGCATCTACTTCGGAAGTTGTGCATCTCCGTAGACGTCGGTTTTACCTAGATGTTGCAAACAGCTTTCAGTTGTGGTGGTCGCTGTTGAGGGACCTTGCAGACAAGGTTACTGAGTTTGGTACTTCTTGCGTTCAGGCACGCAGATTGATCTGCCTGTCTCCACAGGACACATCAAGGCGCTGGCATGCCGCAGCAGTTCTGAGCTCAGCTGAGTGGAATGCTTGATTGAGTATTTGGTGAGGGAGTGGTATCTGGGTGTCTTGGACTTGAAAGGTCTGTTGACGCTCCACTGGCAGTCACGAACTGCGGACTTCCTGGCTCATTGAATTTCCATGCTTGTCCAGCCTTGGTGTTTGGTTTGCCAACAGGGCTGTACTGCAAGGAACGTGCTTCCTGATGGCAACAGCATTGTGACCGCGTTGCCTCTGCGCGTGTAGCTGGCATGACAAGATGTGTGCTGCCAGGTCTCTCTTCTTTCATGTTGAGTGCAGGCAGCGGCCTCAGAGGGCTGGGGTAGATTTCCCTCTCAAGCAGTTGGGGTTAAGATCCCACGCCACAAATGTGTACACCAACGAACGAAGAAACAATTGAAGGTCCTAACATGCCAGAGGAACGACAAAAGGTGTGACATGAACACAAGGAGGCTTCAACCTAGTTCCGAAAGCGAGAAGGCTGACAACATTGTATGACCTATGTTGGCCCCTTCTGCTTCTGTGTGGTATGGTCTTGCTCTGTTCGCTCTCGCTCTCTTTCTCTCTCTCTCTCGCTCTCTCTTTGCAGCTCTCCCTTTGTTTTCCATATCAGTGAACGACGTTGCAAAGTATGGACCGCGGTCATCCTCGTCTTCATGACGCTTTGATGTACTGTCTGCGAGGGGGAGACCCGGCCTGATTGTTGACGAGTCTCATAAAAAAGCCTGCCGGAAATGGTGCATTTGCCACCATACCTTGGGTCTATTGGGTGCATCAGGTGCCATTAGATGAGCACATGCAGCGCATGCGGCATCTGCACTGTCAAGGAGGTCCTTTTGTCGGCATCTTCCAATCATCGCAAAGTAATTGATGATAACTGATGCCCAAGGGTCTGTAAATTTGCGTATTTACATCTAAAGCTCTTCAGCAGTTTTTTCTACGTATCGATCGCGCAGCAAAGATCTACCTCTGCTGTCCTTTTTGAGCTTGAGGAACTTGGTGATTGGACGCGTGATTTCGAAGCATGCGACACGATACGGCAGAAGTGGAGGAAAGCTGGGAGCTTTAGGAGATTGAGGTGATGGGAGGCTCCCTCTGAAGTCTTTTCTGACGACCTCCACTTGCCGCTAGACCATTGGCAATGCAGGGCGTCCAAGCCAAGGTCTCGGAGCGGTCAGCAGATTCTTCCTTGGATCCATAGCCGAAGATTCGGACAAAGGCGCCTCATCCAAGTTCCTCCAGAAGCTTGCACAGCATGAATGGCATGCTCGCAGGCTTTAATGGCTCTGAGGCAACAACCGTCAGCATTGAGGACATGGCTGAAAAGAAGTGTGCCTGCACTTGCAGAGAGACAATTTCTATTGTCGGTACACCTGTGGAATCTCTCGTAGCATTGGCATGGACGCGCCTTCTTGCCTAGAGAGGATTTTGCTGAGATGCGCATGCTGGGAGAAGGCGCCTTCGGCAAGGCCTGGACACAGAGATTGCCCCCCAAGCAAGCTTTCATGCTCGTTTTGAGGTGGGCGTGTACATGCAATCCTGCGCAGGTCGTTCTCGTCCGCCACAAAGAGACCGGTGAGCTCTATGCACGGGCCTCAGAGATGCCGCAAGAATTTGCGCCCATCTGCTCAAGCGGTGCTCCGATTGCTTGCCGGCTGGTGATCTGTTAATCAGTATTGGCACATTCCTTGTCTCATTGAGATGCATGCATGTATCTCAAGGCCATGAAGACCATGGACAAGGCGAAGTTCAAGGCTCAAAAGATCACCAGCAAAGCTCAGAGCGAGCAATTTATCCTGAGCCTTGGCAATCATCATTTATTGGCCATGCGGACAATGCGGACGTGATGTCCAGCCTTGCGTTAGAGACTTGCAACCTGCAAGGAGAACTACAAGGTGAGCCTGCTGCGCTTTCTGAAGGCAGAAGCATGCGCAACTCACCTGCGACAGAAGCGTGGCAGGCACCCCTTCATAGTGCAGCTTCACTTTGCCTTTCAGTGCTCATACTTTTGGGTGCACATCTCAGATGCATGTCAGCTAAACTTTACGGAAGCCCGCAGATAGTTTGAGGCACTTGTCATGGACTTCTGTCCAAACGGCGACCTTCAGGCACAATCCTGTGTATCTGTTTCCGGACTCTCAGTTGATTAGACACACTGCATTGCTCAGGGCTGTCTCGCAAAATACGGTGTGCCTGGACTCCGCTTGGAGGAGAATGCTTTGGATGATATTCACTACTCACGGTCAGCGGTCATTGTGCGCTGCTGTAGATGAGTTCCGTCTAGGGTTCTGCAGGAACCTTGTGGATGTAGCGCTGCTGATGCTCATGACCAGGATGCCGCTCGCTTCGCTGGGGAGGTGCTTCTCGCGTCCTTGGATTGAAAACTTCACCTTGGGAGTTGAATCTAGTTGCTCTTACTTGCTTAGGCTAGAACATCTTCACAGCATTCGGGTGATCTTTCGCGACCTCAAGCTTGAGAATGTGTGACCCCCAGACAAGACAAGGTGCTGAGAGTGCCGGCGGATGGGAGCTTGAACCCTTGAACCCTTGTGAAGGTGGTTATTGATTCCAACTTCCGAGCCAAGGCCTGCATGGTGGACTGAACAAATCGCGACAAATCGCGACCCAATGTGACGCAGTTTGCCGGCAGGTCACGGACTTCGGTCTGGCCAAGAAGCTGTATGCTGGAAGTGCTTTCCCCAGATCTCCCCAGCTCATCATGGATTCAAGACAGCTTGCTTCCGCTCCCGAAGGCGATGCCAACACCATGCTCTGACCCTGGTCTTCCATCGTCTTCCTCGCATTGGTCTGCTTGTCCTCAGAGCCTCAAGGCACTTGCTAACTGAAGGTGCGGATCCTATGGCTATGCAGCTCCTGAAATCATGCTCAACACTGGCAGGCAGGTGATTCCTTCCCGACCTGAGATTTTCTGATCATTGCTTGATTCCGGTCAGATACACTTACGCAGTGGATCTCTATTCCTACGGCGTCATGTTGTACATGCTCGTGAGTGGTGGCGAGACCTCACAGCGAAATCCAATGCTTGGACCTAAGCTTGTGTGGCTTGCGATGCTTCAATTTTGCAGATACGAACCCTTTCTTACATGTTCTCACCTGTGCTGCTACACGCGCCTGATAAGCCAGGGTAAGTCCTGAAAGGCAAACGCATTGCAAATTGATAGAAGGTTGCCAACAGCAGTGGAAGGAGACAATTCGAGAACTGGACAGAGGGCTACATAGCGAATGCAGAAGTTGTGTTTGTTAGATGTCGCAGGAAAATTTTTGGAGCTTGCAGCAGTTGTCTTCAAACAGTTCTCTTGCGGATCAGAAGTTGCTAGTGGCAGTCGTGACAGATGCAGTAGCGTGGCGTTTGGAATGATGCCAGCGGGACCAGCCAAAGCACAAGTGTGGAGCACCCGAAGACAGAGTCGGGAACAACTGAGTCAAAAACAACTACGTGAGCAGAATAGCGGATTGAGACGCTCACAAAACCAAAAAGAAAAGGACACCAGCATGTCACCGTTTTGTGCCCGCATCCTTGAAATTTCACTATTCTGCAGTTGTGTTGGGAGGGCTTTGACGGCTGGGGTTGAAAGTTAAGGGTTTTGATGCTGATGGTCAGGATTTTGTTGGCCGGTCTTGGCGTTTGTGGGGCAGGGTTCACCGCATTCAGGAGTCTTGAGGGTTGGTTGTGTTGAGGATTTGCTTTGTTAGGGTCCAGGGCCTTGATGGTTGTGGTTTAGGACCGGTGTTTTTGATGGTCGGCTTCAGAATTCAAGGGGTTTTAGGCTCAGTATTTTCACAGCAGGCAGAGTTTATGATGCTAGGGTTCTTAGGATTCGGGTCGGGGTTTGCAGGGTTAGGGTTCAGGTAGTGTTACGGGTTACTGGCTGTTTAGGGGTGTATACTAGGGTTCTTGGGTCAGGGTGTCTGGTGTTTGGAGGAAGAGGCTAGCAAAGAGGCCTGAGTTACACAAGAAGTGGCTAGGACATTCCAGGAGACCTGTATGGCATGTACAATGCACCGAAAATGGACCGCAGGTATCCCCACAAGCATGTTGTCTGCAATTCTACTGCTGTCGCTTTTCCGATGTCTGGTTCTTTTGACTTTGAATTCATTTTCTTCTTTCCATTCATTCTCTCTCCGCGGGCCATTCTTGGGTAATCCAGTTCCTGCAGTCATTCTCAGCTGTCCCATTCTGACATGTAAGTCCTTAAGCTAAGATGCATGGGTGCTATGCCTCTCGCATTGGTATGCACTGTGGTGGAGACAATCTTTGGCTTTATGCTAGTTGGCTTGATTCAGGCAGAAGACGAGGCTGCCTCCCAAGACCCATGGGCAGCTGAACCTTGGATGCGAAAAAGCTGCCTTTCCCTAGCATGGCAAGTGAACTTGGTCTGGTTTGCATGCCCAAGAGTGAGTGTGGCATGAGGAAGAAGAAGCTCAGGGATTCGGAGAAGGACTTGCTTTTGTTCCTTTACATCAATGATGCCCTTGGTCCGCCTCACAATATTCAGGATGTCGCGCTGCTTTGGGCCAGGTGCGGCTTGTTGACCGAGTGCATGCCACGGTGCATGTGCTTGCATGGGCAAGGCCAGCATCAGCTGTGCTGCCGCTACTCAAGATGCTTACGTCCGAGGCAGTGATTGAGGGGCCGGGTGGGAGCGGAGCCTCTCTTGCGTATGGCATCACCTCAACGCTGCCTCAAAATGAATTAGCCGCATGCGAGCTTTGTCAGAACCCGTTGGAGCGCACCAACTCGACGACTTTGAAGTCCAACACTTTTTTCGCATCTTGGTTGCAGCTGGGAGAGCTGAGGTTCCGCGAACTCCACTAGCTCACTACTTGCAAGCCAGTGAGTGCAAACAAGGTGAAGCATTTGCCAGGGCCTGCTTGGGACCTGGAGCCAGAAGCATCTGATGGTTTGTCCAGTTGTCAGTGGCAAGAAACAATAAAGAGCAGGAATGTACGAATGAGAGCAGGAATGTACGAATGTGCCGAAGTTTTTTCAATGAGGTAGAGGCCTTGCTCGAAGAGAGGAAGTATTCTCCTCCACAGCCTCTTCCTCAGCCATCTGTTTGGCCAGAAGCCTGAGAGTCCCTGCCCCATACCGTGGCAGAGGCAGTAGACCTGGAGATGATGCTGGAGCGGAGCTGTTCCATTGAGCTCCTGGGTGCGTAGCGCACGTGTCACTGCGGTCAATGGACTGCCTATGATAATGGTCATCAGCTGGAGCTCCCACACGTGTTAGAGCTACAACTCGTGTCGGATACCTGTCAACATACGTTCTTAAAAGAAGAGCCCAGCTGGGATTGGTTACCGCATGCCAGAAAGGACCCCTGACACGAGAGAGCGCATCCTCCAGGCCTGACAATTGTTGACATGTTGCTTCGCGAGGCAGCTGAGAACTTTTTATCTTTCCCGATAGCCTGGCTTAGAGCCTTAAATGCCAGACTTTAGCGTCTGTGTTTTTGCATTCTTCTGCAGAGCATGAACAACATAGCATTCGAACCAGCATAGATTGAAAGGCTGCTGATGAGCTGACATCACTTGAGGCAGATCTCTGAGATTGGGGCTCAGATGAGCAATGCCCGCCTGGTCATCTTCTTGCAGCTATTGTTCAGATCTGCAGCTATCATCAACAGATCATGCTGGGATGGGACGTTCACCGAGGACCTGTGTTGCCGCAGCCCTTATTGGCATGTTGCCGTTTTGCTTTACTTGTGTGGACGACTTGGGATTTGTCTTAGCTTTTCCTAGCTTTGTGGTGTTCGAGTTCCTATGCTCAGAGCTGAGGCTGTTCCAAAGAATTTGGCAAAAGAGGCCTTGAGCAGTGCTGGAGCCCGGAATATTCCTATGAGTGGTGTTGCCAACACCCGCCATTGCATCTCACACCAACAGGCGCGTACAAAGGTATTACGGAACACCTGTTTGATCGTGGCTTTCTTCGTTCTCTGGCAGAGTTCTTCCTGGAAAGACGTGCGCTCTCTGTGCTGGACTGCGGAGCGGGCAACGGCGCCTACACTTCGAACCTGCAGCTGGCTGGCATCCGGGTTGGTTGTTTAGATGGAAATCCCAGTGTGAATGCACTTTCGAAGCAGCGCTGCTTCCACGCAGACCTAGCCCAAGAGTTTGACTTTGGAACTCGATGGGATTGGGCAATGTCTATTGAAGTTGCAGAGCATATACCAGGTGAATTCGAGACAGCGTATCTGAATAACTTGGACCGGCATTCCTGCAAAGGAATTGCACCTTGCCAAGCACTGCACACCGTTTTTTTTCTTCTCCTGAAGCGAATCTAACATACCGTGGCAAGCTTCGAAACTTGACAGCTGTTTTCAGGATACGCCGCACTACCGTCAGCGTTGCTCACAAGAGTCGATTTCAATGCCCGGAATTTGTAAGGGCTGTAGGACTTAAGCGTCCGAGCAGGACATGCGCTTGTGGAGATTGTGTGAGTGGATGGATTGTCAGGTTCTTTCCTGGGCTCACCCAGGACAAGATGGCGGTGGCCATGTCAACTGTCGCAACAGACAGGAGGCGTGGCATGGTGTGGCTATTCCATATTTGTTGGTTGTCAAAATTCAACCAGTGCAACTGTTGATAACGCCATCGTTTTCAACAATCACCCTGCAGGTAGAGGCCTTGATGCACTCGCGGGGATTTGCTGCCAATGAGTCGCTTGATGTCGAATGGATAGGGTCTAAGCCCACCACCACGAACCTTCCCGAGATCAGTAGATGCCACGACAACGCACCCTTGTCAAGAAAGTCAAATACAGAAAATGGAGCAAGTTACATCGTTGTGTTTCATATGAGCACGTTCCCGACGTGGGCATACCCTGGAATGATGAAGAATGTTCGTAAGTTGGAGCGGATTGGACATGAGGCTCTTGCAAAGATGTCAAGCTGATGCAGGTTTGCAGCATGCATTCCTGGGGTCCTGAAGGTTCGGGGAAGGTTTCTGGGACGTTTGAGCTGGGTTGCTGCAAGGATTTTTCTCAGAGTTTTCCACTGCAGTGCAAAAGAGAGCAGACTTCCACACCGTTGCTGTCAGCAGTTCAAGGACTGCCAGTCGAAATCTTGCTGCGGCAGCAGGCTTTTGGTGGATCAAGGCAAATGTCATGGTCTCCTTCTCAGACAGAACCTGAAGTTGTCTTGCGAGATCCAGGGCAGAGCATTCTTCGAGTTGGCAGTGTTGAGATGAATCAATGTCTCAAACTGCCTGACAAGGTATAAACTTGGGGCAAGGGATGAAGGGAGGTTTTGCTGGCCAAGCAGGCGAGGAGCAGGAGAAAGGCATAGGGGCCAGGGGAGATGTTCTACTAACTAATTCATCTGAAGCAAGCGAGTCGTAGTAGCTACGGCTGCAGGCAAGCGGTTGATGCAGATCTCGGAAAATAAGTTGTTGCACCTCAAATCCCACCGGCGCGACTGTTCCCACGACTTAGCCTCAAATCTGTCATGGCTCTGCTTTCAACATGCTTTCACCAAAAAACGTTTGCAGAGAAGAGCATATCCTGGAGCTGGCGGATTGGAGGGTGAGTCGGTTTGATTCTCAGAGCCTAGTAGAACTGGATAGAGCCGAGAAATGAAGGGCAACAACCGGGGATCTGTCGAATTCGGACATGGCTTGCCAATGCTGAAGTCATAAACGTGTGAAAAAATTTAAGAGCTTGGCAGCCAAGGTCTTCGAAAGGATCAATCCGCTGTCGTGGAGAGATGGCTGTTTGGAGCCTGAGTAGAGCCGGACGAAAACTGGCCGAGTGTGTTGAGCGCACAGTCTGTACGCCAGCCAGATGTTGAGTGATAGTTTGAATTTCCGTGGACCAGCTGAGACAGGCAGAGAACGCTAGGTAAACTCAATGCAACACATGACCGTGCTAGTGGCCTTCTCATAGCAAGGCATCAACGAGAGCAAACCCACATCCAGTCTCAGCGTGTTTCTCATTGTTGGTAAAGGAATCAGTAGATTCTCCATCAAACTGCAAGGCATCAAGCTGCAAAACAGCAGTGACCCCAATTTTGCATTGTGAACGCTTGAGCCGTTAGTACCAAGTCTGATGCTACATTGCCCTCTTTGCAGAGGGACTGCAGTCATGCTGTCAGAGGTCAGGTTTAGTGCCACGTCTGCCCGGAGCACAACGAGGCGCTGCAGGCCGCGACATCGGGATATGTCGCCCGCTTGCGCTGCTCAGCCACTCGAAGTGCCGCTCCGGCCGGATCGGTGCTGCATGGTTGCGTTTGCGTCGCAACGCAGCACAAGGCTTGAGGGCGTGAGGCCCTATGACGTCATACATGTCATACACTATCCTGTTGAGGAGGCGTCGATCCGTCGGCTCTTTCCAAGAGTTTCAACATTCGAGTCGAAGTCCCGTCAAGGATGCGTTTCGAGGCCTCGTTTCTTCTCTGTGGAGTGGGCCATGCCTCTACTTTCATCTTGCCTTTCTGGAAGGTTCGGAAGACCATATGTTAACGAGCTTTCTGCCGTTTGGAGGTGGGGGCTGAGTTGGGCCTCGTCCGCCATCCCGAAAACATGCCCGGGCGCCACCTCGGTGCGGCGCTGCGCGCGCCTTCGAGACTGCCATGCGTCGGAGGAAGTCTGCCAGCTCGGTGCGGAAGCGGCCACCCACCTGAAGCGTCCGAACGACCAGCCGGCGCGCCCATGCGGACATGGCAGCGCGCCGTGCTGCCGTCGGGGCTCCGCACGCGCGGACACGCACAAGGTCTCGCACCGGACCCAAGGCACCCATGTTCCAACGTATTCTTGATGATCAGCGTGGCAACTGCACTGGAACTTTGTGTTATTGCCACGGGCGTAGCAGCTGCCATCTTCAGGGACAAGAGTTGCAGGTGCAAGAGGTGACGATTTCCCGCCCGCAAAACGCTGGTGGGCTCGAATGTTTGCAAGCGACACAGTCCTAAAGTAGCCAGGTCACTCACCTTCTTTGCGAGTGCAATGGCATGCCCGCCCATGAGGCGGCCAGCCCGAGCTTTGGACTGAATGGACACATCTGCACAAGGGGAAAAAAGCCGGGATTAAAAAGAATCCCTAGTTGTCAGCAAACGCTCTTCAAGCGGCGGTTGGGTTTGAACATGCCTGAACCCATGCTGTTTTTCAGGTTGTGCGGCTTCCGGCATAGGCTTGATTCTGCGTAATGTCAGGTGTGCAAAAACTTTGTACAGCAGTCGCACACTGGCATTTGGCCGATAATGGTTTGCTTTCTTTTTGTGTTCGCATGCGTGGCCAGCAAACAAAAAATGTTTTCCCGAATGCGCAGCGGAAGGGTTCTTGTTTTGAGGTTGGGGGTCTGGGGAGTCTGGGGGTTGGGAGTTGACGCGAAATCCGTGCGGAGCGTTCGCAAGCGTCCGCAAGCGTCCGCAAGCATCCGCAAGCGTTCGCAAGCTTCCGCAAGCGTCCGCGGCCGAAAATCGTCGCAAAACGCAGAACTGTCTGTCCCTACTTTTGGACTTGCGTTGCGTCTTCGCGTCCAAAAAGTGTCAACAATCACAGGGACCGGGGGGGTCCTGGTCGCGAAGCGCAGAATTGTCGTCACTTTTGGTCTTGTGCGGCCTCTTCGCGTCTCAAAAGTGTCAACAGTCTCAGGGATAGGGGGGGTCCTGGTCGCGAAACGCGGAATTGTCGTCACTTTCGGACTCGCGTTTGGTCCTTGCATCTCTAAAGTGTCCTCGAAACGCAAAATCGTCGTCACTATTGGACGCGCGTTTGGTCCTCGCGTTTCAAAAGCGTCAACAGTCTCCGGGATCGGGGGGGTCGTGGTCGCGAAGCGCAGAATTGTCGTCACTTTTGGTCTTGCGCGGCCTCTTCGCGTTTCAAAAGTGTAAACATTCTCAGGGATAAGGGGGGGGTCCTGGTCGCGAAACGCGGAATTGTCGTCACTTTTGGATTCTTGCATCTCAAAAGTGTGAACAGTTTCAGGGATAAGGGGGGGTCCCGGTCGCGAAACGCAGAATTGTCATCACTTTTGGACTTGCGTTGGGTCGTCGGGTCTCAAAAGTGTCATCAGTCACAGGGATTTGGATTTGGGTGGGGTCCTGGTCGTGAAACGCAGAATTGTCATCACTTTTGGACTTGCGTTGGGTTCGCGTCTCAAAAGTGTCAACAATC